CCTACCTGGCAACTGCCAACTCCAGACCCCTCTGTGTAGTGTGGGCCAGTCAGTGCCACCACAGCCCTCAGTTAGGGCATTCTGACCTGTCCTTCCTGCCATCACCCAAGGCAGGCTCTTGGCCTCACAGGGGATCTCACCAGCCCATTTCACAGACCAGGAAAGTCACAGCCCAGAAGACTGAATTGTTATGCCCCAAGAATACCCCAGAGTGGAGGGGAGCTGATGGCCAGCAAACCCCTGCACCCTCTCTCAAAACTCTTCATGTTCGGCAACTTTTCGTGGGCTCGCAGTGAAGACAAGTTGGAATGATAGGTGATAATTGGAGATGATACTCGCCCAGCTCCAAGACTGGGAAATGTTACCCAGACCCCTTCCACTGTTACAGAGACACAACTCGAGCCTGGCCGGGCTCCCGGCCAGCCACCCCACAGCCCTCAGACTCCGGGCAGCACTGTGCCCGCTTCTCTCACCCCAGCTCAGTCCCCTCATCCCCCACTCGCATCCGCAGTTGTTCTCTGGGTTCACCCGTTGTTCCTGGAACCTCCTGCCTCCACCTGTCCTTGGAAATGTTGTCAACGATGTGACTGTTTCGGGGGCACCCAGAGGCCGGTAAACCTGAGAGGAAGCAGACAGTCAAGGACCCCAGACCTTCAACCCCACCCAAACTTCATGGTCCACAGCCCCGACTCTTGGTTCCTCCTGCTCATCTCGGGGTCTGCTCATTTCTCACCGCCATCTGCTCCTCTGGACCCCTTACTAATTGGATTCTTTCCTGGTTTGGACCCACTGGAGCCCTCCTGGCAGTGCTGGCAGGGACACGAGGGACAACTAGAAACAAGCGTTCTATGTCCCGGCCCTAGAGCTCTCTGCATTTTCATGGTCGTAAAATTCTGGGGAGTGGACAGCTGACCCCATTTCCTCTGGCTGCCCGCAGAGCAGGACACAGGTGCGGAGGGACGGGGAGACTCGCCCAGCTCCTGCTCCCAGCCTTTCTCCCCTGTCACAGTGCCCCATTCACAGGGCCCCTCCCTCAACACTCGAAGTCACTCCTCCCCGCCTTGCCCTCCTCAGACATCACAGGCTTCAAGCTCCTGGTGCTGTGCACCAGCCCAAATCACTCTCCCCTAAAGGATGACGCTCTGCCAAGCAATCTTCCGTCTTTATAAGATACACTTGATGTTTTAAAATTCTGTTCTTTCAGCTCTTTCTGTCCCAAACAAGAGGGAAGGGGTGTTTTCGCACAGTTAGACCCACTGCTAGGAGGGACTGTGATGAGGGGTCTGGGAGTCGGGGACCCTGCTTTGACTCCCCAGTTCCTCAGTGCTGCCCTGAGATCCCACCCCCATCATTTCCTGAGCTGGGTGGGCCAGTGTACAGCCACCCAGTTCTTTGATCAGTGGGAACCCAGGAGATCCTATTCTGGTGGCAGGAGGAAACTGGGCCTGGAGAGAGGGTCTCTGGGGACTCCCATCCCAGAGTCCCGAAAGACCCTGTCGAGGGCAGAAGTTGCTGGAGGACAAGAATGCCTGAAAACTTGGCTGGAAATGGCCGGGGGCTTTATCCTGGGCCTCCTGGCCACACACTGACCAGTGCAGAACCAGCGCATGGCCCAGGGCTGGCGGGTTAGCACCGACCTAGCACTTTTTCTTCCCATCTTTTCATGCTCTGCCGATTTCCAATGATCCCCTAGGGAAAGGGTCAACATGCAGAAGGTGCATTGGGGCCACTTCTCCCTTAAGCCTCCTTGAGAGAGGGTGTCCCGAGGGGCGGGGCCACGAGCATTTCTATAGGCAGGGATGTGGCCGTGGCCTCAGGACACTCTGGGTGATTCCCCCCTGCCTTGCCCTCCTCGGACATCACAGGCTTCAAACTCCTGGTGCCAAGCACCAGCCCAAATCATTCACCCCTAACGGATGAGGCGCTGCCATGTGACTCTCCGCCTTTACAAGATATATCTGATGTTTTAAAATTCTGTTCTTCCATCTCTTTCAGTCCTAACTTAGGGGGAAGAGTGTGGTCGCACACTAAGTGGTTTTTGGCAGGAGGGTCTGTGGTGAGGGGTCTGCGCACCCGGGGACCCTACTTTGACTCCCCAGCGCCACTGAGGCAGCTCCTCGGCATTGCCCTGAGCTCCCACCCCCATTGTTTCCTGAGCTGGGGAGCCAGTGTTCAGCCACCCAGGTCTTTGGACAGCAGAAGACCAGGAGGTGCTATTCTGGGGACAGGAACGGACAGGTCCTGGAGAGGGGCTCTCTGGGGACTCCCATCCCAGAGTCCCGGCAGACCCTGACGAGGACAGAGGCTGCTGGGGACAAAACTGCCGGAAGACTTGCTGGAAATGGGCCCGGGCTTGATCCTGTGGCCTCGGGGCCATACAGTGACCAGTGCAGGGCCAACGCAGGGCCTTTTCTTACCGTCCGTTGTGCTCTGCCAATTTCCAAAGATCCCCTAGAGATGACCCCTAGAGGTGACCCGTAGATGACCCGTGGAAGGGTCACCATCTGGAGGTGACCCCTAGATGACCCCTCGAACGGTCAACAGGGGAAGGTGTGTTGGGGCCACTTCCCTCTCAAGCATCCTTGAGAGAGGGTGCCCCGAGGGGCGGGGCCACGAGCTTTTTTTATAGGTAGGGATGGGGGCGTGGCCTCGGGGCTGCAACCCCATTGGCCAGGGGGAAACCTAGAGCTCCCGGGGCAACGTCAGGATGAAGGCTGCACCAGCCTCTGCCCTGGTGGGCCTTACGGGCCTCCCCACCCCCACCCGGACCTTCGGGCACTGCCCCCTACCGACGATGGTGGCTTGGAACTCTGTGGGCCCCATGGTGGGCCAGGAGCACTGACCCTTTCGGTCTCCCATAGCTCAGTCCACGACTTTCTCATTCCCAGAGATCACGTCCCCCCATGCCCAGGCTGGGCTGCAGCTGCCAGGATTAGCCCCTGAGCACCCGTAGGTCTGGCCTGGCTGCTGCTGTGGGAGCCCAGCGAGCCTGGCAGAGGGGCTGTCCTGGTTGCTGTCCTCACCGCCCCTCCCTCCCCAGGCCCCTCTCCTTTCTGTCCTTGGAGCCCCTGCCCTCCCTGCCCTTCCCCTCTCCTCTCCTCAGGCCCGCAGAGTTCTTGCTCCCGCCATATCCGTTGTCCACGTTCGCTCTGTCCTTCTGTCTCTGCTTCCTCCCAGACTGGCAGCAGCCACTTTGTGGGGCCTTTGAGCCCCCAGACCCAATCAGTCCCTGACCAGTTCCCCGTGTTGCACAGAGACTTCCCTTTCTGAGCCCTGGAGGGCTCTTAATGACCCCACAGAATCTCCCCATCCCAGCTCTGCCCCTTTCTCTGAGACTCAGTTCATCCTACTGGGAACTGGACACCAGACTTGGCCTTGGGGAAGCTGGACGCTTCTCTCATGTTGCTCCCGGCCTGTTCTGGAAATCCCGCTCAATACACACACTCCCAACTAGGGCCACTCAGCCTGGCCACGCTGCCCTCACGAGTCCTGCAGCCTGAAAGGAACCCCAACTCCCCCATATCGCCCGTGCCCACTATGGCACCCCCGAGTGCCCCTGTCCTCCCTTCCCTGAGCACATTCAGGCCCCAGTGGTCTGCGGCTGTCTCCTGTAGCTCTGACATCTCCCCCTCTCCCTTTCGCTGGGCGGAGAATCAAATCCATCTCTGATGGTGGGGCACAGGGTCACTGTGGGCTTGTGCTGTCTGGGGAGCTTGTGGGCAGTGAAGGGTTCCACACTGGGGTGAGGCTCTGGGCAGGAAAGGTCCATCCAGTCCTTGAGAGGCTTAGAAAATACCTGGAGGTTTGTAGGTCCTTATCCTGAAACATCGACTGGCCTCTAGGGGTGGGAACTCACATAGCATTGGGGCAAGGTGGGGGGCTCTTCCTGGGGGGCACTGCAGAGGGGGTATAGATGGGATAGGCACCATGGGTGGGCAGTGACAGGCTCTGGACATGGTGAGACCCCATGGCACGGATTCCTCATCATCCAGAAGCACGAGCCATTCCTGGCAGGACCCGCCCCGCCCAATGGCACACACCCACACAGACTATGATGGATCCACTTATTGAAATAGTCGTGGTAACAGGATGGTGGTTGTCATGGAGAGTGGCCCAGTCCTCCTCCTCTCTCTCCTCTGCCACCAATTTATGATTTCCTAAACTTCCCCAAGACATGCCTACCACTCAGTTGCTCTGACTTCTACTGTCTGATGCTACAGTAACTTATTAGTCCTTGTTTCCGGCAATTTTTCAGGTTTTACTGTTATTATTCAATCTCTATTATGTATAATAAAGTTTCTCTTTCTCCTCCTTTTTCCTCTCCCACTCTTTCTCTCTCTCTCTCTGTCTCTCTGTCTCTGTCTCTGTCTCTCTCTCTCTCTCTCTCTCTCTCTCTCTCTCTCTCTCTCTCTATGAGCTTCTTAAAGTTTTCCATTAGCAACCTCTTTTTGTTAGGAAATTTTTTCCGTGGTCCCTGATTTTGAGGTATGTAAAATAAGGATACAAATATTTATTTGATAAATCATAAATAAATTTATTTGATTTTTTCTTTCTTTTTGGGTCACATCCAGCGATGCACAGGGGTTACTCCTGGCTCTGCACTTAGGAATTACTCCTGGCAGTGCTCGATGGACCATATGGGATGCTGGGAATTGAACCTGGGTTGGCCGCCTGAAAGGCAAACACCCTACCTGCTGTGCTATCGCTCCAGACCCCTACGTCATAAATAAATTTAAAGTAAAACAAGTATCTTTTAAGTTATGCAAACCCCGTGTGTAGTCTTGATCTACAGTTTAAGAAGCCAGGCCTGGTGCTCACACAAAGTGCTACCCTTATTTCTACACATATGTGAACAAAAGTGTGCACACATACATGCATACACATAGTCCATCTTCACTTTTACATACACGTGCACACACATAAAAATGCACACTTTTACACATGCACATACAGTACAATCCACACATCTATACACATGCATACACACACCATGTACATACAGTGCCATCCTCACGTCTACACACGAACATAAAAGTCAGACGTATGTTCTCACTGGTGCTGGGGGCCACCAGGGCCATCCCAGTGATGCTTGGGACCTCCAGGGCTGTAAATGGTGAAGTTCAGGAGGGGCCACGTGGGATAAATCCAGGGCTGGGTGTGTGCTTTGGTGACCCCTGTGACCATCTCCCCTTCCGCTCCCCCTGATTCCAGAGCTGGGGAAAATGGGGGTGAGGTTTACAGAAGTAAAACAGTTTCCCCACCACCCCAACCCTCCCCCCGCAGGATCTGCCCTCACATCTGCTTTAAGGAGACCACATTCAAGCAGCAGCAGCAGCAGCAGCAGCCCCCAGGCCGGTCCCAAGCCCCGCCCAGCCCCCAGCAACTCCAAGTGAACAAGAGAAGACAGGCCAAGCATTAGGGATCCTGCAAGACAAAGGCGCCAACAGTTCCCCATCCCACCCCACCCCCATTCCCAGCATGTCCCTTATCACAGCATGCCTGGGGCCTGCTCCTCCCTGAGACTCCCAGGGTCTACTTCAGCCCCAAGATTGACAGCACAGATAACACTGCCCACTCACCTAGCGCAGGAGGAAGTAGTGGTTCTCGGGGACCGGGTTCTGGCAGAGCTCTATGACCAGGCTCTCCCCGCCCGCCTCCACCGCCAAGCACCCCTCGGGCTGGTGGGTGTTGTAGAGGATCTCCTTCTGGGATGTATACTCGAAGAACTGCAAAGGAGCCGTCCGTGGGCAACGGTTACTGTCGGCCATGGAGGAATGGACGGACACCAGGCAGGATCAGAGCACAGAGGCCAGGCAGAGAGCCTGAGTGTCCAGTTTTGAGGGTCTGTGAGTGTCCTGCCAGAGTTCCCCAAGGCCCCCTTCTCATGCTCTGCTTCTTCCCTGAGTGTTTGAGACCCCACGCTGTCCCTACCCTTGAGCTGGCCAGAAAATGGACGGTCTCAGTAGCTGAGTGGGCAACTCTGAGGCCTGAGCTGCCCTTTCTCTTCTCTGGGCTTTTCTGCCTCTTCCCGGCAAACTTGAGGGAGTTTGATCCAAAGCAATGGCACTGTGGAATCACTAAAATGTCCTTTGCAGGCAGGAATTGCACTGCCAGGGAGAGGGCAGGCCTGGGTCACACAGGGAGACAGGGTGCTGGAATCCAGCTTCTCCGGCCAAGTAGGTGCCCTCCTGAGCCGACCCAGATCTGCAGGGTTTTCCTTTTTCTTCCTCTAACTGTAGGTATTGGTGCACAGTTAGTCATAACTGCACAAGCGGGTTTCTCTGAGTCCTATCAGGCACTGCTTGCTTCATTTTCTATTTCCCAGATGTTCTACAATGTCTTGCCTGCACGGGAGAGCCTGGCAAGCTGCCCGTGATGTATTCCATATGCCAAACACAGTAACAATAAAGTCTCCAATGGAGACGTTACTGGGCCCGCTTGAGCAAATCGATGAACAACGGGAGGACCGTGACAGTGAGCTACAATGAGTCTGTATTACCTTTGCAGGCAGAGAATCAGTTCATCTCACCGCTCCAGAATTACATGGTGCAGGGCCAGAGGGATAATACAGTGGAGAGGGTGTTAGCCTTGCTGACCTGAGTTCAATCCCTGGCCTCCCATATGGTCCCCTGAGCACTGCCAGGAGTGATTCCTGAGTACAGAGCCAGGAGTAACCCCTGAGTAACCCCAGGTATGACTCAAAAACAAAAATAAAAACAAAAAAGAACTACATGATGTGAACCACCAGGAGGTCAAAAGGCACAATATTCCCAAAGAAGACATCTGAGCATGTATGGATCATGCAAGAGGAAACAATCAAATATAAACCATAAACATACAATGATGACAATTAGTTAAAACTAATTTTAACTTGTCAACACAAACTTGGCCAAGAGCATTGATTCATTCGAATGCCTAACAACCGGAATTGGACGTTTACATTTGAATGATGTGGCTCACTGCCTGCAGTTTCTATCTTTGTTGTCTATACACCAACATCTCATTATGATGAAAGAGAAATCTAGAAGTTCTACATGGAGCTAGACAAGTTCTATAAAGAAGACCACACCTTCTACAAGATCATTGTGGGTGATTTTAATGCCAAGATAGGACCGAGAAGATCAGCTGAAGAACTTCACATCGGGACCCATGGCCTAGAATGGAACGAACAGGGTGAGAGACTGTCTGAGTTCATCATGTCGACCAAGACCATTCATGGTAACTCACAGTTCCAGAAGGCAGAATCTAAACGATGGACATGGGAGTCTCCCGGTGGACGATTCCACAACGAAATAGACCACATCATATTCAATCGACGGTTTTGCCTGACTGATGTCGCTGTTGTCCCAAAATTTCGAACGGGATTGGACCACCGTCTCCTTCGTGCAAAATTCTACTTCACAGAGCGGGGAGAAAGGGCTGAAAAGTTCAAAAAGAGAACTCCCAGAACGACCACCAACTGGGAACTCTTTGGTACTATTGCGGCAACATGGGAAGATGCCATTGTTGACAACATTGACGAGGAATACGATCGACTGGTTCAGCACCTCCATGAATGTGCGAGGAACGCCAAGAGAGAGATAGCCACAAAAAATCACCTATCTTCAAAAACTCTTGAGCTAATTCGCCAGCGTGGTTTGGCGCGTGCCTCAGGCAACCGCAAGCTAACATCCAAGCTCCCAAAGCAGTGCAGAGATGCAATCAAGGAAGACCTCAAAGAGAAAAGAGCAGAAGTACTGGGAGATGCGGCAGAAGCCGGGAAAAGTATTCATAACGCCCGCCTGTCCTTCGCCAACTACAAGACCAAGATGACTGCCCTCCAATGTCCTGATGGATCCATCACATCCTCCAAAACGGCAATGGAGAAGATTATCTATGACTTCTACTCAAATCTCTTCGACAGCCATGTCCACTTGCCAACATACCAAATTCTACAGGATGGATATGTCGTTCCCAATGTTCTCCCTTCCGAAATCCGACACACCATTTCGTCGGTAAAGAAACAAACAGCACCCGGCCCAGACAAGATCAGACCTGAACACCTGAAAAACCTGCCGTCAGTACTCATCAATACACTGGCTCGGCTCTTCACTCGCTACCTGTCTGAATGCAAGGTTCCGTCCCAATGGAAAACCAGCAGGACCGTACTACTGTTCAAGAAGGGAGACATCCATGACATTGGCAACTATCGCCCAATCTGCCTATTGTCTGTCATCTACAAGTTGTTCACTCGAGTCATCCTAAATAGGATTGGCAGAACACTAGATGAAGGACAACCATGCGAGCAAGCCGGGTTCTGCAAAGGATTCAGCACCATCGACCATATCCACACGATAACCAAGCTCATTGAGGTTTCTCGGGAGTTCAAGATGCCGCTTTGTTTAACATTCATTGATTTAAAGAAGACCTTTGATTCTGTTGAGACGGAAGCAGTCATTGAAGCCCTAGCCAATCAGGGCATTCAAGCCCAATACATCAGGATCCTCCATGAGCTGTATTGCGGATTCACTACCAGGATCTCACCATTCTACAAAGAAGTGATCGTTGATGTCAAGAGAGGGGTGCGGCAGGGTGATACCATTTCACCGAAACTCTTCAGTGCCACCCTCGAGAACATCATGCGACGACTGGAATGGGAAGGAATGGGAGTGAAGATAGATGGTCGGCAACTACACCACCTCCGCTTTGCTGATGACATTGTTTTAGTAACACCAAACATCAGCCAAGCAGCACAAATGCTGGCTGACTTTGACCGTGAGTGTGGAAAGGTAGGACTACAGCTGAATCTTACGAAGACAATGTTTATGAGAAACAGCCTCGTACCTGATGCCCTAATCGCTCTCAATGGAACGACCATCTCCGAATGCAACAGCTATGTGTACCTAGGTCGAGAGATCAACATGACAAATGACCTGGCACCCGAGCTGCGCAGGAGGAAGAGAGCGGCTTGGAACGCCTTCAAGAACGTCGAAGAAATAGCTAAGAGGATGAAGAACCTCCGGCTCCAGGCACATCTCTTTGATTCCACTGTTCTTGCTGCATTAACATATGCCTCAGAGACCTGGGCCCTACGCAAACAGGATGAGAACTCTATTCAGGTCTCCCAAAGAAGAATAGAAAGAGCTATGCTTGGAATATCACGTTTCACTCAAATGAGAGAAAGAATCCGGAGTTCCGACATCCGTCGACGATCAAGAATCAGGGACACTGTCTCATTTGCCAAGGTGTCAAAAATCAGATGGGCTGGTCACGTAATGAGGTTTAAAGACGACCACTGGACTAGAGCTGTTACCGACTGGATTCCACAGGATGTCAAAAGACCGCGTGGCCGCCCACCTACCAGATGGTCAGACTTCTTCGTCAAGATCATGAACAATCGGTTTGAAGCCCTTCATGTTCCTGGAGCGAACAGATGCCATTGGGCTACACTAGCACGCGACAGGGACAAATGGAGACGTTACTGGCGCCCGCTCGAGCAAATCGACGACTAACGGGAAGTTAAGTGATTAAGTGATTAAGTTAAAACACAGAATCCAGAGTCTGTGCATAGAGGAAAGAGGGACAAGAAACTCACCTTCATCCTAAGGCGGTTTCTCCAGGTCCTCTCGGGCACACTTGCTTCACTTTCTAGTTCTCAAATATTTTACAATGAGTCTCTATTACCTTTACAAATTGAAGAGGTCAAATATTCACTTTTTAAAAAACACACATAGAGGTGCTGAAAGTAGATAAAGGACCAAACATAATGGCCTCTCAGTATCTGTATTGCAAACCATAATGCCCAAAAGTAGAGAGAGAGTAAGAAAGAAATTGTCTGCCATAGAGGCAGGGGATGGGGGTGGCAGGAGGGACACTGGGAACATTGGTGGTGGAAAATGAGCACTGGTGGAGGGATGGGTGTCTGATCATTGTATGACTGAAACTCAATCATGAAAGCCCTGTAACTGAATACCACAGTGATTCAACAAAAAAAAAATTAAAATTAAAAAACAACAACACACATAGATCTTCCCCAATTTTCCTCTTTAAGAGGCTCCCAAGACCTTGAACCCAGGGGCCCCTGCTGCCTTTTTCCAGAGAGAAGCGTCACCTACCTGGTTCTGGCCCAGGCCATGACAGGTGTACAAAATGACCTGGTGCCCCACAATCTGGTTTTCATCAGGAGGATTATAGTCAAAGCAGAGTCCTTGCAATCCTTTATTCTGGAGCTACCAAGAAACATAACGGGAGTTTCCAGTTCAGGTTTACACACAACTGAGTCAACCCAGGATGCTGTGGGAGGAGAAACAGGGAGTGAGGAGGGCCCGGCACAAGAGCCAGGCCCAAAAGTAAGAGCTTCTGGGACCTGAGCGATAGTACAGAAGGTCAGATGGCTGGCCTTGCACATGGACAAACCCCAGCAACCCACAGGACCTCCTGAGCACCGCCAAGAGTGATCCCTGAGCACAGAGCCAGGAGTAAATCCCTGAGCACCGCAAGGCATAGACCCCACACCAAAAGTAAACAAATAAATAAATAAGAGCTTCCTTAATTTATTCATTTTGGATTTTTTGGGGGGGATTGAAGGAGGGGAGTATCACATCTAGCAATGCTCAGGGCTTACTTCTGGCTCTGTGCTCAGAGATCACACCTGGTGGTGCTTGGTGGGGAATCCTATGGGGTGCTGGGGATAGTGCCCAGTTTGGTCACGTGCAAAGGCCTGAAGAGCATCATGCCCCATCATCCCCTCCAGGGCTGCACTTGGACAAAAGAGAAATGCAGTGGGACGGGGTGGGGTGGGGATGCAGGAGACAAAGGCAGGGCGAGCAAGAGTGACACACTCCCTGGGGCAGGCAGCCCACGACGGCCTCCTGATCCTCTCGGCACCTCGGGAGACCTGGACACTTCACAGTGGCCAAGGATTCAAACGTGTTCAGAGCCCGCTGGGTGCTGACCAAAGGGCTTCCAGAATGGGGGAAGCAGCGTCGCCCAGCCGTGCAGCCCAGGAGAGGGGAGTCTCTACCTTGGCGTGATTTCTCTCCGGAGTGAATGGCACTGGGGCCGGAGAGGGTCTGGGGGGTGAGGGCACTTGCCAGGCAGGCAACCAAGCCCCAGTCTGATGCCAGCACCATCATGAGTCACCACTGAGCACCACCGGGTGAAGCCCAACCCCAACCCCCACAGCGCAAATACTTCCCATTTGTGTGCAGGGGTTTGGGGGGGAGCAGAACGGGTGTTTAGGCCATACTTCGAGGTACTCAACGGCCACTCCTGACGGTGTTCAGGGGACCACGTCTGGCACCGGGGATCAAACTAGGGTTGGCCACACAGAGGGCAAAGCTTAAACTTAACCCCGGGACTATCTCTCTGCCCCCCCCCCCAAAGATTTCTTTTCTCTTTCTTTTGGTGAACAACAGAAGTGACTCTCCTTTTCCTGCCCCATCCTCCTGTACCCCCCCACTGGTCCCCAAGGACCCCTGCGGTGGGAATGACTAACTGGCCCAGACACTGAGACTCGGGTGTGAAGTGATGTGATGGGTAGAGGTGGTGTGGAGAGTCCAGGCAAGCCTCAGTCTCCTCATGCAGAAAATCACAGGCAGAACCTGACTCTCGTTCACATGCTCCCACGTGAGCGAGCTGAGAGCCAAAGCCAGCCGGGGGAGGGGAAGAGCCGGGGAGAGGGCCGGGGCTGGGGAGCCCAAGGGACCCCATCGAGGACCTGCCTCATGCAGGGCGTGGGGACCCTGCTGGCAGCCCCCCCGGGCGCAGCCCTCTCACCATCCCGAAGCAGCCGGGCCGGTCCTCGGGCACGTGCAGCTCAGGATACACGTTCTCCAGGAACCACCTGAAGTCCTTACACTTGAGCTTCTCACGGAGCTGCCGCCTCTCGGTCACGTCTCCAAAGAACTCCTGAGGGGGTCCATGCGGTCAGCCTGAAGGTCCTCCACAGTCCCCCACTCCACCCCACCCCAGTCCTGGGGCGTGACGATGCCCCCAAGCCCTAGCTGTGCAGGTGTGGGTGGGTGCCTAGGGAGAGAGCTGTGGCAGCCGGGGTACCACGCCCCCCCCACACACACATGCGCGCGCACACACACACAGGGTTCCCCGTTGCCCAGCTCCAGCCTGGGGAGACCCAGTGCACCTCGATGGTCATGAAGCGCCTAGGACATGATGGGAGCCCCAAACCCCAGCCCTGTGGGCATCCCTGGACACACAGCACTTCTTCAATGGGACAGATTGAGGAAGGGTGGCTGAGGTAGACACGCATGCAAAGCCAAGAGACGGGGCTGGGATGAGATGAGATAGCGCACATATGCATGACCCATCCCCGGCACCACACACACACACACACACACACACACACACACACACACACACATACTCTGTGTTGAAGAGATAGCTCAATGGTCAAGAGCACATACAGGAGGCCCAGGTCCGAGTCCCGGCACGGCAGGGAACCCCCAGCACTGAGTCAAGGGTAGAACCCAAGCACCTCCAGGTGGGGGTCATAAGTAAACAGGAACCAGAGAGCTCGTGCAAAGGGCAGGGCGCTTGCCTGGCAGGTGGCCACCCTGCCCTGGTCCCTGCCACCTCATTTGGTTCCCAGAAAAAAAATCACCAGGCATGATCCCTGAGTGCAGAGCCAGGAAGAGGCCCTGGCGACCATGGCATGGGGCCTGACCTCCCCTCCACGACAGAAATACCCACGATCTGAAGATCATGCAGTGGCTGGAGGTAGCTGAAACCCAGCCCTGATTTTCCTAGAAGCAACAAGCTCAGGGTACCCCAACCTGGGGTGGGCAGCATGAGCTGCTTGGTGTGATTCTCAAGGCCGGGTGGGCATCAAGAGACATCAGCAAAGGGTCATCACAACCATGGAGGAATCAAGTAGTTCCCCACTGGCCTCACCAAGGCCCACCGCAGCTTCTCCCTCCGGAAGTGGATGTGCGGGCACGGAGGGTAGAGGGAGGACGGAGGAGGAAGGGGGGGTTAGTTCTGAGGAGGCCTGCAGGGGTGAAGGCAGACGGGGCGGGTGGGAGGAGCTCACCAGGCGTGCGTGGGGGTTGCGGTGGTAGAAGAGCTCCTTGAACTCATCCAGCCACACTTCGGCAGCGCGGACACTGTTGGCCAGAGCCTTTTTGCGTGAGTAGGGAGCTTGCTTGGGGAAGACGTGACCGACGTGTGAGCAGGGGTGCGTTTCCAGGGTCCCGCCGCACTGCCAGATCTGCAGGGCAGAGGAGTGGCTGGGTGAGGGGAGCGGGTCCATCGGCACGGCTGTCCCTTGAGTACAGAGGCCGGGCACCAAGCATCACCCAAAGAGACACTGCCGAGACCACACCCTCCAGGGCATGAAACAGGCGGCCCCCTCCACCCCACTCCTCACCCCACCGCCCATCCCTGCCTCACCCACCCCCATGCACACACGGGCTCCAGAGCGCAGCCAAAGAACAAGGGAGCGGCCCAAGGTCTAGCCACCAGAACCAAGACCACAAGCCCATGCACTGTTTGTTCATGCGTGGGGCTCACCTGGCCCAGAGTGGGCCCGGCCAGGAGCTCGTGGGTGGGTGACAGTCCACACGGGCGGATTACCTGATCTCCTAGCCAGAGAAGAGAGGAAAGCAGCTAGGAAGGAGAGAAGTTGGGAAGGGAGAAAGAGGAACTGCCAGACACAGGAGAAGCAGCCTGGCACCTGGAGGAGAGGCAGAAAGACCATTAAAAGCACACCTCAAAACCCAACGAGGTAGACTCATGCAAGGGCAGAGGGGTGTGAACCACCACACCCCACCACTGGCCCCCAGGATGAACCATCCAGAAAAGCAGCTGAAGGGCTGGAGACACAGTACAATGGGGTTGGGCACCTGCCTTGCATATACCTGACCCAGGTTCAGTTTCTGGCAGCTCCGACGGTCCCCTGAGCACCGCCAGGAGTGAGCCCTGAGTTTGGGTTTCAACCAAATTCAAAAAGAAAATTTTTTTTGAAAAATAAGACCCAAAAGGACAGTACCTTACGATGGGAGAAGGAAAGCCCTGCGTGGAAGATAAAATTTCTATTTGGTTCACTCTTTATGCAAAGCTGGGATGTTCTGTTACTTAAAAAAAAATTCCAGGGGCCAGAACACTAGTACAGCGAGTAGAGCATACTGCCTGGCATGGGGCCAACCCAGGTTCAATCCCCGACATCCCATAGGGTCCCTCGAGCACAGACAGGAGTCATCTCTGAGGGTAGAGCCCAGTGTATCCCCTGAGCCCCACTGTGTGTGGCCCCAAAACAAAACAAGCAATCAGAAAAGATGAAAAAAATTCTCACAAAAATTAAACAGAGGGGCTGGAGCGATAGCACAGTGGGTAGGGCGTTTGCCTTGCACGAGGCTGACCCAAGTTTGATTCCCAGCATCCCATATGGTCCCCCAAGCACCGCCAGGAGTAATTTCTGAGCACAGAGACAGGAGGAACTCCTGAGCATCGCAGGGTGTGACCCAAAAAGCCAAAAAAAAATTAAACAGAAAATTTTAACATCATCAAAAAGCATGACCAATGGCATATGGTCTTGAAATGTAATATGCCAGACACAAGTTCATTGGGAATCCCACGGAAATGGCGGGGGTTCTCACAGAACTGTCACTCAGGGATTCTGAGGGCAGAGGGCGGCCTCAGGGGGTGCGCTCGTTAATGTGACTCTTGCTCCGGCCTGCACGTCCAGCTACTGAACCTGACCCCTTTAACAAGCTCTCCCGAGAATCCTTCTCGGTGTCAGACTCTGAATGTCACCCTGCTACATACATATAGAGGCGACTTCCTAAAGTGCTTAGCAAGCCTGGCGACCAAAGGTGGACCAGGAGGCAGGATGCTGTGTCTGGGGCCAACCTCGGCCCAGGGCAGCAGAGGGGAAGAAAAGAATCAGGGGACCTAGGAGGTTCCTTCCCTGCCTCCTGCTTTTCTAGTTAAAAGCACGTTCTGTGAGAAGGTCAGATGAGAGAAGCACATATATAGGCTGTCCACGTGTCCACTCTCAGGACACTGGACAAAAGGCCAAGGCGGGGAAAAGTCCAACAGGTTTTCATGAAATCCAGAGAGACAGAGGCATGGAGAGAGAGAGAGAGAGAGAGAGAGAGAGAGAGAGAGAGACAAGCACGGCTACAGAAAGAGAGACAGACCCGAAAGGAGAATTCGAGGTTTTCTCCGCCCCAAACTTCCATTCCTGTATCATAAGACCCCAGATACTGAAAATATTTCTTACTCACAGCAAACAGCCCACCAGCCATTGTCGGGGACCTGGAAGAGTTGCAACACCTGCGTCTCAGTGCCAGCCGCAGGAACCCTTACCCAGGCCTGATCTGCCTTCATCAGTCTGGGAGCACTGGTGGTGGGGGGGCTCTGCTGGGAGTCCTAGCTGGGGAAGCTCCCAGACCCCTCCAAATAATCACAGAACTGCGTGTGATGCATGTGCTCTCGAGGGGTCAAGGGCAGGGACAGCTGTTTCCAGGGCGGAGAGGGTACAGGCCCGGGGCGTGTCCAGTATAGAGGAATGAACGGTGCTGGGAAGGCCTCAGCATGGGCAAAGTCTAAGCATGAGAGGACCCCGGCAGCTGCAGATGGACCCGGAGAGAGGGCGGAGAGAGCACATGGCTGGGAGGGTGGCGGGGTGGGCGGTGGTGGTGGTCTCACAGCAGAGCCCAGGCACTCACAGATGCAGCTGGGGTCTGCTGGAGGCCATGAAAGATGATTCTAGCACATTTTCCTGAAGCCCTCGATTCCCCCAACCCCACTGAGCAGGCATGGCATCTTCCCCGGCCCCCAGAGGTGGCTCAGGTCGAAAGCTGGAAGGGAAGCACCCCAGAGTGCAGATGTGGGTGTGGGAAACTGGTGGCAGCCGGGTCCCTGTGGTGGCACTGGGGGGCCCTCCCAGCACTGCAGGCTCAGAGTACACGGGAAAGGTCAGTGGGACTCCTTGGTGGGGGATGGAAGAACAGGAGGGAGGGAAGACCAAGGAAGGGGGAGAAGAGAGAGAAAAGGGAGGGAGAGAAGGAGGGAGGGAGAGAAGGAGGGAGGGAGAGAGAGAGGGAGGGAGAGAGAGACGGAGGAAGGAAGGAAGGAAGGAAGGAAGGAAAGAGGGAGGGAGGGAAAGAAAAAAGGGAGGGAGTGAGGGAGGGAGGGAGGGAAGGAAGGAAGGAAGGAAGGAAGGAAGGAAGGTAGGAAGGAAGGAAGGAGTGGGGGAGGGAAGGAGGGAAAAGGGAGGGAGGGAGGGGTGCCAGCATGAGAGCACATTCACATGGCTTTAGGGTATAAGATTAGGGAACATGGTGACTGAAACATGCAAGAAAGCTGAGATGATGTGTGGAGTTCATGCACAATTCAATCAGCTAATCAGTGGCTGAATAAATAGCAGTACTCCTACATTTAAAAAAAACTGAGATGAGACTGTGGGAGGGGCAGGCAACTGACCATGAAGCTGCTGCATGTGTGCATGTGTGTGGGTTTGTGCAAATGTCTTCATATGTGTGCACTGGAGGAGGGAGTTGGGGGGGAGGGAGTATGTCTCGACATCACAGGCTGCATCTGTGACCTGACACATGATCCCTCCTCCTCTGCCTCAGTCTCTAAATCTGCTGTGTGAGCTGCAATGCCAGCGGCTCCCCAGTGGCCACTCCAGCAATCCGGGTGCCACTCTCAATCCGTCCTTTTTCCCAGATGTCAATCAGCTTCTCCAAATCCCCCCACCGCCCCGGAGGTCCCCCCACCCCCCAGTCTCAGCCTCCGTCTTCTCCTGCGCCCGCATTTCTGACGGGGAAGTCTGCAGAGCCTCCTAACACATGCCTGGTCCCTGCACCCCATCCTGTGCCCACCAGCTCCCTCACCACGAGGCACCAGGAGTAATTCCTGAGTGCAGAGCCAGGAGTAACCCCGAGCCTCAGCAAGTGTGGCCCGAAAACTAAGCCAAACAAATGAAACAGAACGCGAGCAGCCGGGCTCAGACCCAGGCTCACCCACTGACCAACGCTGGCTCTCGGCCGCCCTCACCCTGCACCCTCACCCATCCCCTAACTGGCTTCAGTCCCACAGAGGCCTGCCACTAAGTGCTCAGAGTCGTCACCATGGAGTCCCCACCTGACCCAGAACCCCACGCCCATTTGGACAGCCGGAAGTGGCAGCCAGCCACCTCGGGCCCTGGAGACTGGCACCAGTCCAGGGGGCAGGGCACCTGTGATATCAGTCCTCCCCGGGGCATGGCACACAACTCCTGGAAGGCGGACACACCCACCGGAGGTGAAGGGGCCAACAAAACCGGCCACGTTGACACAAGGCAGAATTATGGGTTCCCAAGGCAAACATCTCGGGACCGGCAAGAAGGCAAACGCGAAGGGACAAAGCGTGGTGGCCTCATTCGCGTGAGGCGTCTGGAAGGGGGAAAGTTTTTGTGGGGGTGTGTTAGAGGCCATGGAGCCGTTAGGGGCTGGGGTTGACACACACCGCCTGACGGTTGGAGAGATTCTGCGTGGTCGAGGGAAAAGCGCGCTTGAGTCTCCCAAGTTATATATTTAAGAACGGTCAGAGCAGTACATTTTAGGATACATACTTCACCCTATTTTTATTTATCTTGTTTTGGCTTTGGCTTTGGGACCACACCCGGCAATGCTCGGGGGCAACTTCTGGCTCTGCACTCAGGAATCACTCCTGGCGGTGCTCGGGAAACCATAACAGGGTGCCTGGGGGATCGAACCCAGGGCAAACTCCTGCAAGGCAAGCGCCCTACCCACTGAACTCTCTCTCCAGCCCCCTCACCTTTGTTTTTAAATAAACAAAATAGGCCAATGAATATGAACCCCACACTTAGAGCGGGGTGGGTGTAGAGTAAAAAAATAATCAGCAGATGCTTTAGAACAAAACCAGGTGGGGCCCCAGCGAAGCATCCCTGCCCTCCCCCCGGGCGTCTGCTGCAGTTGTTGGGGGGGTTGTTACGCTCCCAGCCAGTCCTGACCTGATGACAATGATGGGGGACCGCATCCGCTTCCGCTCCCGCTCAGGGACCACGTGCCACGTGAACACCAGCCACCAGTCAAAGCCACCGATCTGAGGCTCTCCGGAGTTGCCCAGGTACTCAAAAGTGTTCCAGTCAATAACGTCGATCACGGGGCACACCACCGCCGGCTCCTCCTCCCCGATCCTGCAGTGACCACACACACACACACACACACACACACACACACACACACACGCACACACACGCACACATACGCACACCACCCAGATGTGGCCAGGACCGGGGTGACCAGGAACAGCCCCCCCCCTTCCAAGCCATGCTCGCTCCCACTCCACTCAGGGCCAGTGTGTGCCCTCAGGTCCCCTGCTTCTGGACCCTGCATGGCATCGGTCCCCAATGCCACCCTCCAGCCTGGGATTCAGAGGGAGAGCGAGACACGATGATGGCTCTGCTCTCAGCCCCTGGCACTGGCCTGGGCCCCTGGGAGTCCAGCTGCTGGGACCCTCTTTGAAGCTGGGGAAAAGAAAGAAGCCATGAAGGGAGCCAGAGTGGGTGAGGACAGAGATGGGGAGGGCAGAGAGCAGCAGGGTGAGGCTGGGGGCCAGATGATGGACACCCACGCCTGGGAGAGGAGACAGTGGGTGCGTGTGCTCCAGAGGCCAGCTGCGCAGACCCTGAACCCCTCCCCCCGCATCCTTGTCCACGCCACATGGGGGCACAGCCCACCCGGAGGAATCTGGGGGTAGCTGACAATAGTGATGCAGCATCAGGAGGGAGGAAGTGGAGGGAGTAAGGTGGGTCTGGGGGAAGGGCAGCCTGGAGTGGTTCCCCTCCCCCCTGCATTTAAAACCCTTTCAAACAATGATACTTAAAAGCATAGTTTAAGACTACAGGGGTAAGAAGATAAAAAATAACCCAGGCGAGGGCCATCTGCTTCCTGTCCATGATTCTGCTCATGGTTTCCTAGTGACGCTAAGGAAGGTGGGGGCCAGAGACACAGGACCCCAGGGAAGGTGCCTGCCCGACAGGTGGCTGCCCTGGTTCAATCCCCGGCACCCCATGTGGTCCCCTGAACACCACCAGGAGTGATCCCTGAGCAGAGCCAAGAGTAAGCCCTGAGCACTCACGGGTAAGCCCCTTCACACACACAAATCCCCCCCCCCAAAATAAAATGCAGGGGCTGGAGCCATAACACAGTGGGTAGGGCATTTGCCTTCCATGCGGCTGACCCGGGTTTGATTCCCAGAATCCCATATAATACCCTGAGCACCACCAGGAATAATTCCTGAGTGCATGAGCCAGGAGTGACTCCCTGTGCATTGCCGGGTGCGACCCAAAAAAGCAAAAAATAAATAATAAATAAATACATAAGAGAAATTACTGTGAATCACCATTTCTGTGGGTCCCTTCAGGCTTGAGGAGCCCCAGGCAACACAGGTACTGGCTGACCTGGGAAAGTCAGCCCAGCATGAAGGAAAGATGACCAAAATGTGCTGCCTAGGGCTGTGATCTGATAAGATCCACACCATCCTGTTCTTGGCCTCTCTGCCCATGGCAGCACTTTTCGACTCAGGCACCTGACCAGCAGCAGTAAAAGCAAGTCCCCTGCACCAGTAAGCCGTGGGTACAGCAGCGCCTGATGCCCTCGAAGGCTCCCAGACCAGGGTCCCTGATCATGTGACCAGGGATGGAGCCGTGGCCTGAGACTGGGGGACGGGGCACCCAGGCCGAGCCCGAGGCCCACGGAGCTGGGTCTCCCGTGTTCCCACTGGGCACCGCCCACGCACCTCTGCAGCAGCGGCTCCAGCCAGCCCTCGTGGCACTCGCAGTGGCAGTCCAGGAAGGTGAGGATGTCGCCCTTGGCCCCCGAAGCCCTGAGTAACCGGGCGCGCACCAGGCCCTCCTTCTTGGTGGCGCGGATGAGGTGCACCTTGGGCAGGTGGGCTTCCAGGCGCTCCTTCAGGTGCTCTGGGGAGGAGAATGGGGCAGCCGGCTCACTCCCGCCCTGCCCGGGCAAGGGAAGGCTGGGATGGAGAACTCTAGAACCACCAGCAACGTTCCCACGTGCCCCCCTTGGACCCAGACGCCCAGGTCTCAGGACTGTCAGGACTTGGTGCCCAGCTGGCTCTATCGGCATCGCCTCACACTCACCTGCCCTGCACTCTGTCATGGGCAACGCTGAATGACCCCGAATACTCTCTCCACGATTTCCAGCCGAGTACATGGCCACCACCCCAAAGACATCAGTCCCCCAGGTTAAGATGTGTGATCCCAACGCCCCACCTGGTCCTCTGAGCACACCAGGAGTGAGCCCTGAGCACAGTGCCAGGAGCAAGCCCGGAGAACCGCCCAGCGGCCCCCAGAACAAACAAGCGAGACTACAGTCCTGAGCGTCCCCTGTAGCCAGGTGTGGCCAGGTGACTGTTCTTCTGCAGGGTGGGAGGTGAGACCCCCTACTAGGTGCTGCCCAAGTCCCCTGGACACCCTTCAGTACAGGTGGGAGTGAGAGAGAGGGGAGGGGCAAGGCTGGGGCATCCCAGGGAGCACAGCACCCCAAAGAAGGCGAGTGTTCACCCCTGCCCCCACCCCTGGCCCCCACACCTGCCTCCACACCTGCCCTCACACCCTCCCTCACAGTTGGCCCCCAACACCTCTCCCCCACCTCTGTCCCCAAGACCTCTCTCTCACACCCACCCCCCAACACCTGCCCTCTACACCTGTTCCCCCATGCCTATAGCCCATACCTATCCCCCACACCTGTCCCCCACACCTGCTCCCACACCTGCCCTCTACAGCCATACCCCAACTGCAGGGAGACGTTCCCTGTTATCTCCTGTAAATCACTGTTATCTAGAGCCTCACAGAGAACAGCCCAGCACAGCCTTCAATCAGAACCCGTCCACAGCGAGAACCAGACAGAGCTCAGAGGCAAGAGCAGGGGAGGGGAGGGTGGGGGTCAAGGGAGGGCGGGGTGGGGGGAGGGGAGGTCAGGGCAGGGTAGAGGGGAGGCCGGGTACCTCTATCGCTGTAATCATCCACCAGGATGACCTCCTCCAGCAGGATGTCTGGGGACATCTCGAGGACACTGTAAACGGTGCGAAGGAGGGTTGACCAAGCTTCGTTATAAAACGCGATGATCACGGACGTCGTTGGCAGACCTTCATAATTGTACTTCTGCTCTCTGCACCTGCAGAAGCAACACAGCCTCAGGGACGGGGAACACCCTGCACCAGGGCATCCCAGGCCTGGCACGGTGCTTCGAAGGACCTCTGAAGGGAACGTCAGTCATGGTTGAGACCTGCCATAGAATTTGGTCGCATCTTCTAGAAATGCATTGCCCTGGAGCCTCCTGGAAGCCTCGGTAGCTCCCAAGAAAGGTTGTACAACGACACCCAAAAAGCCTGAAGTCACTCTGGTAAGGGCAGGCTGGGTCACCCACGAAGTCGTACTGTTGACATGGCCTCCAGGGACAGATGGCCCAATGATGAACCTGGCTCAGACCCAATGCGACAGGGCCATCCTGGGCCGGGATGGGATCCCCCAGAGCCAAACTTGATGGTGCCCAGGAGGCAGGCAGTGTCCAAGGAGGCACTTGGGTCTTTTCACACGGTCCCCTGACCCTGAGCTCTCTCCCTGCTCTGAGGTTGTGTATTTAAGCTGGGCAGCAACGTTCACAGTTTTGCCACCCAAAACCTAGGCAGGCTCCAAAGACAGGAAGACGGTTCCATCCTCAGGCTGTGCAGGTTTCACCTCTGTCCACTCCCACTTGAACCCCACTGCCCAGCTTCTACTCAGCTCTCTCCTCCTCTGCCTGGCACCCTCCCTGCCCTCCTTCCAGAACCACTTGGAAAAATCCCTGTGTGGAGAACACCTGTCTGGGGTGTCCGCTCCCTCCGACCGTCTCCCGTTCCTGCATACCACAAACTCATGTACCCTCCACTCATCCCCTCCTCCCACGCCCCAAGTCTCCTCACAGACACGTTTGACTCATGCGAGGCTTGGGGCTGGGGCACAAGAATGCTAGGGACACTGGTGGACACCACGGGGCAGCCTTGTGGGGAGAGGAGGTTCGGGAACACGTATGTCTGGCTGAGAATCAAATCCATCTCTGATGGAGGGTCACAGGGTCACTGTGGGCTTGTGCTGTCTGGGGAGCCTGTGGGCAGTGAAGGGTTCCACACTGGGGTGAGGCTCTGGGCAGAGAAATTCCATCCAGTCCTTGAGAGGTTTGGGAAATACCTGGAGGTTTGCAGGTCCTTTACCTGAGGCATGATCTGGCCACTAGGGGGCCTGGCACCCAGGAAGCATTGGGGGCAAGGTTGGGGCTCTTCCCGGTGGACACTGCAGCGGGGGTGTAGACGCAACAGGCACCATGGGCATGTCATGTCAGGTTCTGATCCATGGGGAGACCCCCACAGGACAGCTCATGCTTCATCAAGAAGCATGAGCCGTTCCCTGGCAGGACCCGCCCCACCCAATGCCACACACCCACACAGGCTGGGATGCATCCATTTGTAGAAACAATCTTGGAAACAGGACAGTGGCTGTCAGGGAGAGTGATTCAGCCCTCTCCCCTCTCTCTCTCCTCTGCCACCAATTCATGATCCCCTAAACCGTCCCAGGTAGTGCCTAGAACTCAGTTGCTGACTGTTTCAGCCTCCATCCTTTTCAGGACTTCCTTTCCCAGAATAGAAAAAGTGCACTGGAGGAGGGGGAGCTCTCGGCTCAGACTTTTGCTTGGTCTGTAGCCCATGATTCTGTCTGCCAAGCCTAAGGGGAGGGAACCAAGCAGGCAACAAAAGGCAGAAGCGAAAAACTAGGCAGGACCTCTGAGAGACCCACTCTAGGAGGTGGAGAAGATGGATGAGTCAGGAATCACCGAATTTGACAAGAATCAAATGTGAGGTTTGCTCTGACAAAATGGTGACCAGAACCAAATGGCAACCGGCTGAGTGGACAGCAACATTCCTGGAGTCAGAGATCACCTTGTTCCAGGTGAGGAAGACAAGACTATCGCCCACCTGGTGACAGGAAGCCACCAGCTTCATTCCAGGATCCTTACCATTGACCCACGAAGAGATGACTCGGAGCAGACCAAGACAACTCCAAAGGCCCCTTCATCTAACCCAGGGGGCGGGTGTACCATTGCCTCACCTGAGGTTCGGAGGGTCCACCCGGGAGCGCCCCCAGCAAGCTACTCCTATTTCCTTAACTTTATTTATATGTCTCTGTCCCTCTGTATGACCCGGACGGGGTTCCCAAATCTCTCACCGAGGAATAGAGTGAGAGCAGTTTGCCCGAGCAGGAATGGAAGAGGCTCACGGGAACGCTCAAACAATGGAGCTTAGAAACTGGAGTCACTACTGTGGGAGCACCTGAGAGCAGTAGGCACCACTGTTTGTTAGATGAAAGTTGTTACTGCAGAATCGAGGTAGCCTGTTAACAACCTACATAATTATGCTCTGACCTGCTAATGCCCGTTTGGGGGTAGCTGGATAGAGCCTGCACACATGGAATACACTGGGATGCTTCTGGCAAACTCTTGGGTGCCACCTGCGTCTGGGTGAGACTCTGTCAGATTCTAAGAGGAAAAACTCCCAAGACAGTCGTTCAATGGGAGAACAGCTCTCCCCACCGGCAAGCGTGGATAGGGGAGAGCCTCTGATCCCCACAGTCTCTCAGCTCCCCAAACCTCAAGGCAAACCTGACTTGGTGTTTCCAGAGCCCAGGGACCCAGAGGCAGGACACGGGGAGCTAAGCCCAGAGCCCCATAGAGGCTGCGAGAGGGTGTGCAGGACATGTGTGAGGTGTGCAGAACTGTGAGAGTGAATGGGCGACCCCAGGCCCATGGTGCAGGTAGAGGGGCAGGGCTATGAACTGGGCACCGAGGGGTAAACAAGGAGCTGCCTGTGCCTGCCCTGGGCTGCCTTACCAGGAGTGTGACTCCCAGTAGAAATGTGACTGGCAGGAAGGGGCATGGCTGACCAAATTCCTGGAAATGACTGGAAAAGGATGGCTCTTCCTTCTGAGGCTTTGCCATCTGGTCTGACACATGGATCTGGACACAATTCTTGTCACCAGTAGAGTGTCACTCAGCCAAGGCTGTCCCATCAGGTCCAGGCGTGCAGGAACAAAGAGGAGTCAGGGTCTGGTTCTCTATTTCATGGGGTCTGACCGTGCTGTGATGGTGGCAGTGGGACTTGTATTAGGGAACCTGATGGTCCACACAGAAGTGGGGCGCTATTATCAGGGATCAGCTCTGTACAGACTCGGGGACACTAGAAACATGTTCCATCCACGGCCCCATCCTGCTCCACTGATAACACACTGTCTTCCTGCCAGGGCAGTTGCCATGGAGAGGGACCCTGGCTGAGGGGACAGCACCTTGGACCCACCTGCTGCAGGAGCACTTTCAAGTCCTCATCCTGAGAAACCTGATGTGGCCACTAGGGGGCAAAGTGGGGTCTGTCCCTGGTGCCACTGCAGAGGGGAATGGGGAAACAGGCACCAGGGGCAGGGGAGGCCATGGAGGTGCTGCAGTGGAAGGCAGGGCTCTGGGTGCTGCATCCTGCCCTCCCTCCTGGGGACTCATCCGTGATTGAGACCTTCAACCCTTGGGGTGGACTCTCCTGGCGTCATTGACAGGCTTCACACAGGGGCAGGCAGGTGAAGCGTCTTGGCATGGTGACATGGCCAAGGCTTCCCACGATCTAGAAGCAATTGTCAACTACTGGCCAGACCTGCCCCACCCAGTGACACACACACCCACACAGGTATGGGATAGATCCATTTATTGTAACAATCGTGAAAATCAGACAGTGGCAGTCAGGGAGAAAGCCCGCCTTCCTCCTTCCCCTCTTCTCAGCCAGCAATACAAAGTCCCCAAACAGCCCCAAAGAGTGTGTAGAATCCGGTGACTGGATGGTACCAGTGCCCAAGCTTCAGGGCTGTCATGCGCAGAAACAGGACCCCACAATGGGGAGGGGAGAGCTGAGTTGTAACTTCTGACCTCCAAATCATTGTTTGCTAGTGCTGGCGGGATATAACTGCCATCCTGATCCCTCTGACCTTGTGGAGGGTGACATCTCGGCCCCTCTAATACCTGGGGTCTAGTGTAAGGGGACACATCGGCACCCCCGATCCTGGCGTCTAGTGGTGGGGGGCATCTCTGGCCCCACTGATCCCTGGCGTCTAGTGGTGGGGGGCATATCTGCCCCCCGATCAATGGCGTCTAGAGGTGGGGGGCATGTCTGGCCCCCCTCGATCAATAGCTCTAGTGGTGGGGGGAGGCATCTCTGGCCCCCCCGATCCCTGGCGTCTAGTGGTTGGGGGGGCAACTCTGGCCCCCCCAATCCCTCGTGTCTAGTGGTGGGGGGCATCTCTGACCCCCCCATCCCTGGCATCTAGTGGTTGGGGGGGCATCTCTGGTCCCCACGATCCCTGGCATCTAGTGGTGTGGAGCCATCACTGGCCCCCCCGATCCCTGGCGTCTAGTGGTGGGGGGCATCTCTAGCCCCCCGATCCCTGGCGTCTAGTGGTGGGGAGGCATCACTTGCCCCCCCATCCCTGGCGTCTAGTGGTGGGGGGGCATCTCTGGACCCCCCGATCCCTGGTGTCTATTGGTGGGAAGGCATCACTGCCCCCCCCATCCCTGGCGTCTAGTGGTGGGGAGGCATCTCTGGCCCCCCCATCCCTGGCGTCTAGTGGTGGGGGGGCATCTCTGCCCCCCCGATCCCTGGTGTCTAGTGGGGGGGGGCATCACTGGCCCCCCGATCCCTGGTGTCTAGTGGTGGGGGGGCATCTCTGGCCCCCCCTTGATCCTTGCCCTCTAGTGGGGGGGGGAATCTCTGCCTCCCCCGATCCCTTGCGTCTAGTGATGGGGGCATATTTGCCCCCCCTTGATCCTTGCCCTCTAGTGGGGGGGGAATCTCTGGCCCTCCCGATCCATGGCGTCTAGTGGTGGGGGGGCATCTCTGGCTCCCCCTTGATCCTTGCCCTCTTGTGGGGGGGAATCTCTGGCCCCCCCCCGATCCCTGGACTCTAGTGGGGGGGCATATCTGGCCCCCCCTTGATCCTTGCCCTCTAGTGGGGGGGGGAAATCTCTGGCCTCCCCCGATCCCTGGCGTCTAGTGGTGGGGGGCACCTCTGGCCCCCCCTTGAACCTTGCCCTCTAGTGGGGGCAGAATCTCTGCCCCCCCACCCGATCCCTGGCGTCTAGTGCTTGGGGGGATCTCTGGCCCCCCCTTGATCCTTGCCCTCTAGTGGGGGGGAATCTCTGGCCCCCCCGATCCCTGGCGTCTAGTGGTGGGGGGCCATCTCTGGCACCCCCATTTTCTGGCGTCTAGTGGAGGGGGAAACTGTGCCCCCTGATCCCTGGGGTGCCTTGGGATGGGGACATTTCTTACCCCACATCTCGGGGTCTAGTGGATGGAGACTTTACTGTCCCCCTGATCTCCCGTTTCTTGAGATGGAGAATAGTTTTGCCTTTGCCCTGATCCCTGGTCTTGCAGTGAGGGATATCCCTGGTTCTAGTGGAGGGAGAAGAGCAAAGGGCCAAGGCGGAAGGCAGAACTCAGGTGGCGTGGGGAGGACGGGTATGGGCTAGATCAATTGGGTGAGAGCGGCAGCGTGCGTCGGTGCAGTAAAATCGAGGTGTCAGCGGGGTGTCAGGCTGCCAGTGCAGTTCTTGCTGACGAGCTGCATTTTCTGGATTTTTGGCGGGTCGTTACAGGACCTGGGTCCGATGTGGGTGGACTCCTCTTCCTTAAGGACAGCAACAGGAGCGTCTCTGGATCTCACACAGGCCATGGTCCCTGCCCCCTGGGACTTTGACTCCTCCAGCTCCTGGACTCTGGCACTCCTCCTGCCTGGCCTCCTGTGCCTCCTCCTTCTCTGTGGCCGCCAGCTCCTCACGTTTTGTGTCCAGGAGCACCTGTGTGTTGTTCGTCTCCACACCAATCCCTTTGGAGTGGATGGGATGTGGGGCAGCATAAGGGTCTCAGCCAAGCAGGGGAGGTGGGGGGCTGGGGGTGGGGCCGCCTGGCTCCCCTCCCCAGTAGCCCCGCCCTCTGACCCACAGGGGCTTCTCCCTGTCACTCACCCTTTTCCGGGACTCCTTTTCACTTTACCAGGTTCTGCAGCTGCTGTTTCTGCTGCTGAGTCCCACAGAAGAGCACCTGGGGTGAAGGCACTAGCTGAGGAGGCAGGTCTAGGCTCTTCCTGCCCCAGAGCCCGTGGCCCCTCTCTCACCTGGTCTCCCTCAGCTCCCTGATGGCGGCCTCCTCAGGGCCTGCTGCCTTGGTGGCACCTGCAGCAGCTGGTCTATGGGCTGTTTTTGCCGCAGCATCCGCTGGTACAGTTGCTCCTCCTTGGAGCCCAGGTGACAGCGGGCATCCAGGTGCTCTTGTCGGCAGCTATGTGCATTTCCAGGTATCAGCAGAAAATTCCCCCGGGAAGCCACTGGCACTGCACCTTTTCGTCGTGCACCGGCATCTGTGGGAGGTAGGACAGTGTCTGTGAGGACAGGCAGCAGGGCCGACTACATCCCAGCCAGGAGATGCAGGGCTCAGACCCTCAGCCACAGGCCCCCATGGGGTCTTTGTCCCAGAGCCTAGGAGTTGGGTCTCCCTCTGCCTCGGACCCTGACTCCTACCTGGCAACTGCCAACTCCAGACCGCTCTGTGTAGTGTGGGCCAGTCAGTGCCACCACAGCCCTCAGTTAGGGCATTCTGACCTGTCCTTCCTGCCATCACCCAAGGCAGGCTCTTGGCCTCACAGGGGGTCTCACCAGCCCATTTCACAGAGCAGGAAAGTGACAGCCCAGAAGACTGAATTGTTATGCCCCAAGAATACCCCAGGGTGGAGGGGAGCTGATGGCCAGCAAACCCCTGCACCCTCTCTCAAAACTCTTCGTGTACGGCAACTTTTCGTGGGCTCACAGTGAAGACATGTTGGAATGATAGGTGATAATTGGAGATGATAGGAGACTCGCTCAGCTCCAAGACTGGGGAATGTTACCCAGACCCCTTCCACTGTTACAGAGACACAACTCGAGCCTGGCCGGGCTCCCGGCCAGCCACCCCACAGCCCTCAGACTCCAGGTGGCGCTGCGCCCGCTTCTCTCACCCCAGCTCAGTCCCCTCAGCCCCCACTCGCATCCGCAGTTGTTCTCCGGGTTCACCTGTTGTTTCTGGAACCTCCTGCCTCCACCTGTCCTTGGAAATGTTTTCAAGGATGTGGCTGTTTCAGGGGCACCCAGAGGCCGGTAAACCTAAGAGGAAGCAGACAGTCAAGGACCCCAGACCTTCAACCCCACCCAAACTTCATGGTCCACAGCCCCGACTCTTGGTTCCTCCTGCTCATCTCGGGGGCTGCTCATTTCTCACCGCCATCTGCTGCTCCGGGCCGCTTGCTAAGTAGATTCTTTCCTGCTTTGGACCCACTGGAGCCCTCCTGGCAGTGCTGGCAGGGACACGAGGGACAACTAGAAACAAGCGTTCTATGTCCCGGCCCTAGAGCTCTCTGCATTTTCATGGTCGTAACATTCTGGGGAGTGGACAGCAGACCCCATCTCCTCTGGCTGCCCGCAGAGCAGGACACAGGTGCGAAGGGACGGGGAGACTCGCCCAGCTCCTGCTCCCAGCCTGTCTCCCCTGTCACAGTGACCCATTCACAGGGCCCCTCCCTCAACACTCGAAGTCACTCCTCCCCGCCTTGCCCTCCTCAGACATCACATGCTTCAAGCTCCTGGTGCTGTGCACCAGCCCAAATCACTCTCCCCTAAAAGATGACGCTTTGCCAAGCAATCTTCCGCCTTTATAAGATACACTTGATGTTTTAAAATTATGTTCTTTCAGCTCTTTCTGTCCCAAAAAAGAGGGGAGGGGTGTTTTCGCACAGTTAGACCCACTGCCAGGAGGGTCTGTGATGAGGGGTCTGGGAGTCGGGGACCCTGCTTTGACTCCCCAGCTCCTCAGTGCTGCCCTGAGCTCCCACCCCCATTGTTTCCTGAGCTGGGTGGACCAGTGTCCAGCCACTCAGGTCTTTGGACAGCAGGAGCCCAGGAGGTCCTATTCTGGGGACAGGAACGGACAGGTCCTGGAGAGGGGCTCTCTGGGGACTCCCATCCCAGAGTCCCGGGAGACCCTGACGAAGACAGAGGCTGCTGGGGACAAAACTGCCGGAAGTCTTGCTGGAAATGGGCCCGGGCTTGATCCTGTGCCCTCGGGGCCATACACTGACCAGTGCAGGACCAACGCAGGGCCTTTTCTTACCGTCCGTTGTGCTCTGCCAATTTCCAACGTTCCCCTAGAGATGACCCCTAGAAGTGACCCATAGATGACCCGTAGAAGGGTCACCATCTAGAGGTGACCCCTAGATGACCCCTCGAAGGGTCAACGGCAAAGGTGTGATGGGGCCACTCCTCCCTCAAGCATCCTTGATAAATGGTGCCCCGAGGGTCAGGGCCAGGAGCTTTTTTTATAGGCAGGGATGGGGGTGTGGCCTCGGGGCTGCAACCCCATTGGCCAGGGAGAAATCTAGAGCTCCAGGGGTAACCTCACAGTGAAGGCTGCACCAGCCTCTGCCCTGGTGGGCCTGACGGGCCTCCCCACCCCCAGCCGGACCCTCGGGCACTGCCCCCTACCGACGATGGTGGCTTGGAACTCTGTGGGCCCCACGGTGGGCCAGGAGCACTGACCTTTTCGGTCTCCCGTAGCTCAGTCCACGACGTTCTCATTCCCAGAGACCACGTCCCCCCATGCCCAGGCTGGGCTGCAGCTGCCAGGATTCGCCCCTGAACACCCCTAGGTCTGGCCTGGCTGCTGCTGTGGGAGCCCAGCGAGCCTGGCAGAGGGGCTGTCCTGGTCGCTGTCCCCACCGCCCTTCACTCCCCAGGCCCCTCTCCTTTCTCTCCTTGGAGCCCCTGCCCTCCCTGCCCTTCCTCTCTCCTCTCCTCAGGCCCGCAGAGTTCTTGCTCCCGCCTTATCCGGTGTCCACGTTCTCTCTGTCCTGTCTCTGCTTCTTCCCAGACTCGCAGCAGCCACTTTGTGGGGCTTCTGAGCCCGCAGACCCAGTCAGTCCCTGA